AACGTTGAACAGAACATGAGCTGAGGCCATAGCGCTGCGATTGACAGTATATGCTAGTATAGTGGTTGCCAAGAAGAATACAATTAATCTCACGTTTTCTTAAAGCTTGTATATCTCGACAACTGACAGCTTTATCAAAGCACAATCCAGGCAAACCGTACGTCGAGATCTATTGATTATCAATGCCACAAGGCAGGAAGACGAATCTTAATCAATTCATAATGATTTGTGCCTTTGTTGGGGCTGTATATGTGTGTTTTCTCTGGAGGATGGCAGAAATGGTAAAGATTTCTCTACATCGTTTCCGGTGTCGAGAATGAACTTCCAAAGTGTCACCAAGTGGAAAATATAAAGCGTGCATTTGAACGTAACAGACTCAGATAAATGCTGCATAGTTGTGTGACGTTCATACACTGGTTATCTGATGTAAGGAACACATGTATAAGTTGACTTGTATCTCATAGTACATGTCGGCCAGTTGACACGTATCTCATATTATTACCCACGTGGTCAACGTATGGGTAGTTGCATATTAATCTCGTACGTCACACGAGTGTCGTATCGCGTTGACCTGTGTCGTAACGACTTGACCTGAAATTCTAACGATTTGATTGGATAACCGATGACCTCTCAATTAGGTCACATTCTGACGTAACTATTTTTTCATTCATAACAAACACGTGAATTCATTCATTCTACAACTTAAATGCATTGTGGGAGTCGAACTGAGACATTATATCTGTCGAAAAATATAAACGCAATGTTTCCACCAGTGATGCTAGCCGAATGAAGCAACTGGAAACCAAGAAACGAGGTGCAACGGAGCAGTTTACTGTAGGAGGCTGTACGAGGCGATGACAACTGACATGCATCGTGACGTCGGTTACCATGGCAGTGACGTCATTAGTGTGACGTCATGCAAATATTGTACTACAGTACAAAACTCTGCCGCAACCTCTTTATGAAACCGGTTTCGGTTTGAAACCAAAAACATAACAAAAATACGCTATTTTGTCAATTTAAATGCATGTAAGACGTGGGTAATAAATAAAATACCACACTCGGTCTCATTACATACGAATTATACGAAACTCGTGATTCCTATGTTATCTGACCTCGCTTTCGCTCTCGGTCAGATACCATAGAAGGACACTTTCGAAGCTATACGAAACTCGTGACCTTCCTATGTTATCTGACCTCGCTTTCGCTCGGTCAGATACCATAGGAAGGACACTCGTTTCGTATAATTCGTATGTAATGAGACCTCGTGTAGTATTCTCTATTTACATGTCGGCCAGTTGACACGTATCTCATAGTGCATGTCGGCCAGTTGACATGTATCTCATAGTGCATGTCGGCACGTTGACATGTATCTCATAGTGCATGTCGGCCAGATGACATGTATCTCATGGTGCATGTCTGCCAGTTGACACGTATCTCATAGTACATGTCGGCCAGTTGACATGTATCTCATGGTGCATGTCGGCCAGTTGACACGTATCTCATAGTGCATGTCGGCACGTTGACACGTATCTCAGTGCATGTCGCCAGTTGACACGTATCTCAGTGCATGTCGGCACGTTGACACGTATCTCATAGTGCATGTCGGCCAGTTGACACGTATCTCATAGTGCATGTCGGCCAGTTGACATGTATCCCATAGTGCATGTCGGCAAGTTGACACGTATCTCATAGTGCATGTCGGCACGTATGTATTTCATAATACATGTCGGCACGTTGACTTTTATCTCATAGTGCATGTCGGCCAGTTGACATGTACCGAAGCGTACTGATGCCCAGTCAAAATAGGCTCTGTATACACTGAACTTTAAATGATATACATGTTTATGTGCGATGGTTATATTGGTTGTTTGTTGTTGGCGACATGTACAACGTACTAAATACGAGTATAAACTGTCATCGATGTTTGGGGTAGGCTAAAACTAGATATAAAACTAAGTTTTGACCGAAAAACAGGTATTGACCGAGTTCACCAGTCCATAATTGTTTTATTATGTAATTACCGAAAAAAAAGCTTCTAAAACCAAAACATGTCCATTTAGTCAAGAAACGTAATTTTGTATTCGCTACAAACCAATAACGTTATGTCAACAATACTGTGACAATAGAATGACGTCATAGCTTGACGTCAAAATGTATTTTTAGTAACTCAAGTCAATATGACTTTTGGTCGGACCTTGGTTGGAGTCAATATGCTTTTCTGTCGACGGTCACGTGACCGCCTCTAGACCAATCAGGTAGCCGGAAAAATATGCTTCCATAATAAAACTGATTATTATATAGGTAGTATTTTTCCTGTACCACGATTGGTCAAAAGACCGTCACATGATTGACTACAAAAGACGATATTGACTTGAGTTTTCCGATAAATTACGATATTGACTTGGGTTACTAAAAATAGACAAGGAATCCCGTACGAAGGGGCTTCCCCCGCTTTTCAGCCAATGAGATCACTCGGATAGATGGCACAGTGTGTGCATTAAAAGTTTATGTTAAAACCCGTTTCTCTTTCATTATATAATAAAACAATTATAGACTCTTGTAGAGGTCGATATCGGTTTTTATTGACCTGAGTAAAACAATATCGACCTCGCAAGCTCGGTCGATATTGTTTTACTCAGGTCAATAAAAACCGATATCGACCTCTACAAGAGTCTATAATTGTATGTTATTCGATGCTAATAGTATAATGGTATTACAGGCGATATTACACAGCACACAGTAGAGTGCAGAGCAAAGCAGGTATTGTTTTGAGCTATTATATTTGGGATGTTTAAGTCCGGTGTGCGAACTGGCCATGGATGAAAGACGTTGTTGCCTGCAGACCAGATTTCGTGGACGACTCTTGCAGTGTGCGGCCTGCAGACCAGATTTCGTGGACGACTCTGCAGTCTGGTGCTTGCAGACCAGATTTCGTGGACGACTCTTTCAGTGTGGTGCCTGGCGTTGTCGTGCCGTATCACACTGTTCAATGTTGGCGAAGAAATGATGACACCACGGGTTTGAGAACGTCATCCCTGTAGATCTGGCTGGTTGTTAGGGATGACGTCAAGTCCGTTGGTTGTGACAAGTGTCATCTTGAGAACCCCTCCGCCATCATATTGACGCTCTTCCTGAATGAAGCCTGGCGTTTAGCGTTCAAACCGAAACGATATCATGTGCATGTCTTTGACGTTCATGTTCGTGAGTCTGGGATATCTCGTGTAAGTGAGGTTGGGCTCTAATGCCTGGACACGGAGAGGTCATAATACACTGTGTCGACTGATGCGGCTCCTGGCTAATTACTTGCTAATTAATCCTATCAGCCATGTATAGGTGCGTCTCCTATTCTCGCGGGTTTCCTATTCTCGCGGTAAACACGTTTTCTGCCGAAATCGCCGATGTGAGATGCTTCATTTACCCGGACATGCCGGATCCGGACAGTGGATGACCAGCTGTGTGAGATATTCATCACGGTGTAAGATATTCATCACTGTGTAAGATATTCATCACTGTGTAAGATATTCTTCACGCTACTTCTCTTGCAGACTTCATCCAGCACACACAAAAAGAAAGAAAACAAAACTTCAATATCTTTAAGAAAGTTCTCCGAGTGGATGTAAACCACCTCGTGGCCGAGTGCGAAAGTAAATCCCTGGCTTTACAATCCTATTTAAAACTCTCTATGCGTTATCATTGTATTTTGCATTTTACAGAAATCACTGTTTGGAACACAGTATGGCAAAGGGGAAATGTATGGATATCAACTTCATTATTATAATGAACACAACTTAAAGGTCACATGCAACCAAAAAATCAAACATAATTAAAACACAATTATCACTTATTCATGACATATAATATACATTGCTGGTTATGAAAGAACATATAAACAAAATTATAAGCGTTTAATCGCAAATCAAAAGTGCAATATTTTGTACTTGGGTTTACTTCCCTAGAAACGAAGCAGCCGGGATACCGAACCCAGTCAGAGCGGGTGGGTGTGCACTCAAGTGTTACGACTGGTTCATTTGCAGATACCCTCACGGCTCATTGTGTGTGTGTATATAGAGATGTTGGGTTTTGTAAATACATGCTCATTTTTTGTGTATAACATATTGCAATCAACAGACATCATAAAATGTCATGTGTACAAGTATCACACCTGCCTGTCTGTGTAATTACATAATGTGACAGAGACCGAACTCGGGCCATAAATCAATGCATTTTGTTTATGGTGTATACCCTGAGAGGTGTTAAGTTCAAATTGCATGTGGTCAGTGATCGAAGTTGTGTATTGACTATTGTCATTAGCAGACGGGCAGGCAGACACTTAGGTGTCAATAAAACAGACATTGAGTTTTGTCTGTGACAACGACATGTTTATATCACAGTTAGAAATTCTGTCAACGCTAAATAATGATATTGCTTTTAAGTATCGAACTGAGAAAGTGACTCGGTAAGAAGACCGTGTGGTTATAGACAAATGAAATTATATACAGTTAAATCGGTAATCTACTGTCATAACATATAAAAAGCTGGCGCCTGTGAAATATCAACAAAACATAAGAAGAATAGCTCACACCAAACCCATCACCGAGTATTCACCGGACAACCCGCTTCCAAGCTGCGCGAACCTATTTCACTGCGCATGTGCTTATGAGCGCAGCCCAGCTGTTGAAACCACTTCAATTCCCCCAAGCGCTGGGGGAAAATTAGTGAATCGTTTGAACTACGATTTCGCGCGGTTTTTTTCATCGTGTTATTTTTCAACTTTATAAGTTGAATTTGCATTTTTGATGATTTGTTTCGGTAAGTCCATACCGAAAGGTATCAGAATCTGCAAAGTTGTGTTTTACGTTGCATGTGAGCTTTAACTTTTCCAGCGAAGGAATATATAGGAATATACTCCGACATGTTTTGTACTAGAATATAAAAGCTGACATGCATACATTTCTCCACTTATGTGTATCTTTTCTAAATGACATTCAAGGACATGACAGTGTGGAAAGTTAGTATTTTGCCTTCAACACCTCCATACAAAGATTCTTAAATTTGTCGACCGAGTCCATCTTAGTTTCCGGATCTTTGGCGCGTTCGTCCCAAGTTCGCATGCGCAAGATGATCTGGTGTAATGGAGAGGTTTCGAAAGAAGCAGCCTCATCCGAGTTCATAGGACCCCCTTGATGTTGCAACGTCTTCTTACTTGCCGGGGTCAGCTCTGCGGAACACAGGGTCATACGATTAAAACACGTCTGCTGCTCTGTATACAATCTTCTTCTGAGATTTTAAATCTCGGCTATTTCCCTAGAAATTACCCAAAGAAGGCGGACGGTGTGCATTTTACTGTTTGGCTCAAAAGTCAAATATACTCTGCAAAAAGATAAACGCAAAAGTAGAAATATTTGAACTGTCTGACTGAACTTTGCTGATATTAATAACAATGAATACCAAATAAACGGATGAAGGGGAACGCAAAAACGCAACCACGTGGGAGCATGGCGGCTAAACACAACATGAAACGAACATGAACTGTTGGACTACGAAAACGATGGGTTCTTATTTTTCTCTTATCACAATTGAACAAGTGAAAAGTGAAAACATGCCACGACATCCAACTGCAGACAGGCGACCCGGAGCCAGGGTTTTCCAGGTATAGCAAAGCACCATTACTACAAAGCCTTTATCAGACGCAGGGGTCAACACGTGACCTGCCCAGATCCGGTCGACCGCATGTCACAACTGCAGCGCAGGACATGTTCATACGCATCCGTCACTTCTGTGATAGACTCATCACGGCCTTCTCTACAGCTACAGAAATACAAGCAGTGCGTAGGATTTCAGCCCAGGAATTTGCAGGTATTCGCCCAAGACGATCAGCATCGTCAGCAGCGACGCCAGGTGTGTCAAGAACACAGAGCATGGTCACAACAGCGATGGAGACGTGTTTAGTTCAGTGACGATTCACGTTATTTTTGCTCCGATTGGTTCAAGTTCTGGACACTGATGGGGCCCACACAATATATTGAGAACAGCTGACCTTCACCTTGACATTCGATTGTTTCGTGTGTACCATGATGGACGTCAGTCAGTGACAATAACGTGTGCCAAATATGAACAATAATATTAGTTATATAAAACATAAAATATACTTCTGAACACCACTTTTGTGTTTTCTGTGAAAGGTTCAGATACTGTTGCGAGACCCGACAAAACGTAGATCTATACCATGTCTTATCTGGCTGAATGTGTTTCATTGCGATCAGACAGTTTGCTCATACTGTATGATTGACCCAAGCGAAGCAGATAGATGGAGGGAGCCAACATTATACACTACCCTTTTATACATACTTTCATAGTAATCGGGATACTTCCAGACCAAGTACCTCTTGGCCTTCACGTGACCTCCGACAAGGTCGCACACGACTTCCGGAAAGCCTAGATCCTGAAGAAACTTGGCTCCAACCGTATCATGATTCGCGGCACCAAGGTTGACGTCATTTGTCACCATCTTCGGCAGCTGTTGCTCCTGCCCCACCAGATGGCCGATGTCGTGAAGGAAAGCACCAAGAACTATCTGACACACGATACCAAGCATATATAGAATACGCGACTGGTGTTTTGACATTGCCATTAAACAAACGTTAAATTATACCTTCATCTATCTATTTTTGTATTTCCTCTTTACAAGTAACGCTAAATTGTTGCATCAGCTGGAATGTTTCCTACAGGTATGTACGTAGATAACTATCTCTGGAGTAAAGTAACCTGTCGTCGGTATATATTATAAACAAGCAGAACTTGTGTAAACATTTTGGTGTTGCTATACAGTTTATAACAGCATCAATTATTGGGCTGTTAGCAACCAGGAACAGAAGCTGGAGACCAAATAGTATTCAGCATCTGGGCATTTCCGGCAGAACTCCGTCATCACAGGACAATACTGAATTATGCTGAGTGATTGAATGTAATTAACATCCTGTTTGTTGACAAGTGATGACCTGCACGTGTATGAGTGGTTGCACCAGTGTCACTATCTGATAGTCATTCATAAACACATCCTCACGATGTTAGGTGATATTCTTATTAATTGGAAGGGTTTGTCGCTTGTATCAGGTATAACGTTTCATATGAAGTACAAGAAGGCGAAATAATATTTGGAAAGTTCACCTCTTTTGAACACCCCTCTGCTTCCGCCAACATTCCACACTGGATACTGTGTTGTGTCTTGGACACATCCTCCCCCAAGTAGTCCTCGCTACCATGGTCCCTGTACAGCTGGAACAGTCGCTCAGTTACCACTCCAGGATCCATTGTACACATTAACAATTACCTGTGAAAACAGACACATACATGTAGCTAACGCTATGATTAGGCCTCTCACATGTAGCTAGCGCTATGATTAGGCCTGCCACATGTAGCTAGCGATATGATTAGGCCTGCCACATGTAGCTAGCGCTATGATTAGGCCTGCCGCATGTAGCTAGCGCTATAATTAGGCCTGCCGCATGTAGCTAGCGCTATGATTAGGCCTGCCACATGTAGCTAGCGCTATGATTAGGCCTGCCACATGTAGCTAGCGCCATGGTTAGGCCTGCCGCATGTAGCTAGCGCCATGATTAGGCCTGCCACATGTAGCTAGCGCTATGATTAGGCCTGTCACATGTAGCTAGCGCTATGATTAGGCCTGCCACATGTAGCTAGCGCCATGATTAGGCCTGCCACATGTAGCTAGCGCCATGATTAGGCCTGCCGCATGTAGCTAGCGCTATGATTAGGCCTGCCACATGTAGCTAGCGCTATGATTAGGCCTGCCACATGTCGCTAGCGCTATGATTAGGCCTGCCACATGTAGCTAGCGCTATGATAAGGCCTGCCACATGTAGCTAGCGCCATGATTAGGCCTGCCACATGTAGCTAGCGCTATGATTAGGCCTGCCACATGTCGCTAGCGCTATGATTAGGCCTGCTACATGTAGCTAGCGCTATGATAAGGCCTGCCACATGTAGCTAGTGCTATGATTAGGCCGCCACATGTAGCTAGCGCTATGATTAGGCCTGCCACATGTAGCTAGCGCTATGATTAGGATTGTCGCATGTAGCTAATGCTATGATTAGGCCTGCCGCATGTAGCTAGCGCTATGATTAGGATTGTCGCATGTAGCTAGCGCTATGATTAGGCCTGCCACATGTAGCTAGCGCTATGATTAGGATTGTCGCATGTAGCTAGCGCTATGATTAGGCCTGTCGCATGTAGCTAGCGCTATGATTAGGCCGTCGCATGTAGCTAGCGCTATGATTAGGCCTGCCACATGTAGCTCCGCCGAATGTGCAACAATCGTGTCTACGTTTTAACTGTCAGTAAACCGTCTCCAGTTGTCTATGTACCAGCTGCTTGTTCTTGTTTCTCCATGACGCTAGTTCCTCCGAGACGTACTATTCCCAAACCTACAGCAGCGCACTGGCAACTCAGCAACCCTTAATTAGAAGTTCTGTTTGTCAATGTTGGTTTTATAGCGCTGTGGCCCACTGACATACCGATCTATCAACTGTAACACGGCGGTGAATAAAGAATGTAACCACATTAACTAGATGAATGCACCCAATAGCAGCACCCATGCTGAGTGCCGGGCACCACAGGGACACGTATCAGACACTAGAGTTTCTGGCACCACAGGGATACGTATCAGACACTAGAGTGTGTGGCACCACAGGGACACGTATCAGACACTAGAGCGCCTGGCATGACTCGTAATATACAGGTAAACGTTATCTAAAGAAATGGGACATGGAATTGGGCTATCGCTGCTCTCGCATTACAAATATATTCTCAAGAAAGTAGGGGACACACGGAAAAAGCTTTAAAGTGAGAGAATTGTCATCGGTATTACTTTGTAGAAAAAAGTGTATGATCATCAGGAACGTATCAGGAACTCATAACAACCATTAATGAAGTATGTCCGTTGTGAGTGAGTGGGTTTACTTTTACGCCGCTTTTAGCAATATTCCAGCAATATAACGGCGGGGGACACCAGAAATGGGCTTCACACTCTGTACCCATGTTTGGAATCGAACCCGAGTCTTCGGGGCGGGTTCGACTCCCCATATGGGTACACTGTGTTGACAGTACGACCAACAACGATCTTAAAGGATAATGGGTGTAAGCTGCTAAATCGTTTTCAGTAGCCAGTTCAGGATCAGATGGAGGCAATATCACCACGATTAGTGAAACATTCATGCTTTAGGGCTACAGAAGTGCCCCGTCAGCGCAACTATCAAGGGCATATAACTCCATGTGGACCAAGTGTCCCGTCAGCGCAGCTATCAAGGGCATATAACTCCATGTGGACCAAGTGTCCCGTCTGCACAGTTATCAAGGGCATATAACTCCATGTGGACCAAGTGTCCCGTCTGCACAGTTATCAAGGGCATATAACTCCATGTGGACCAAGTGTCCCGTCTGCACAGCTATCAAGGGCATATAACTCCATGTGGACCAAGTGTCCGTCTGCACAGCAATCAAGGGCATATAACTCAATGTGGACCAAGTGTCCCGTCAGGACAGTTATCAAGGGCATATAACTCCATGTGGACCAAGTGTCCCGTCAGCACAGTTATCAAGGGCATATAACTCCATGTGGACCAAGTGTCCCGTCAGGACAGTTATCAAGGGCATATAACTCCATGTGGACCAAGTGTCCCGTCTGCACAGCTATCAAGGGCATATAACTCCATGTGGACCAAATGTCCCGTCTACACAGTTATCAAGGGCATATAACTCCATGTGGACCAAGTGTCCTGTCAGCGCAGCTATCAAGGGCATATAACTCCATGTGGACCAAATGTCCCGTCTACACAGTTATCAAGGGCCTATAACTCCATGTGGACCAAGTGTCCCGTCTGCACAGTTATCAAGGACATATGGCTACAGGTGGACCAAGTGTCCCGTCAGCACAGTTATCAAGGACATATGGCTTCAGGAGGACCAAGTGTCCCGTCAGCACAGTTATCAAGGACATATGGGTACAGGTGGCCCAATTACCCCGTCAGCGCAGTTTTCAAGGACATATGGCTACAGGTGGCCCAAGTGCCCCGTCAGCACAGTTATCAAGGACATATGGGTACAGGTGGCCCAATTACACCGTCAGCGCAGTTTTCAAGGACATATGGCTACAGGTGGCCCAAGTGCCCCGTCAGCACAGTTATCAAGGACATATGGCTACAGGTGGCCCAAGTGCCCCGTCAGCACAGTTATCAAGGACATATGGGTACAGGTGGCCCAAGTGCCCCGTCAGCACAGTTTTCAAGGACATATGGCTACAGGTGGACCAAAGCACCGGTATTATTACTGATAAACTTCTAATTAGACCAATCACCTAACAAAGCTGGGTACCATTCGTACCAAAACGGACAGAGACACAAACCTGCTGCCTCCTCCACGTGTGGCTGTTGTGTGCAGAAGACGGAAAAATCAAACTGCGTCATCGGCCGGGTTCTGTCTGTAAAGAAGGCACAGTCCACCGGCGGAAACAGAACGCACTGTGGCCACAGGTAAACACAGGTGAACACGACTTGTCTCCCTTAGACCATACTGGACCCACCATAATTTCACTGCTTATGCTCTGCAGGATACCATGTAGGTCCAGAGTGCAGGCTGGTTAAACGTGGACACTTAAAGGATTTTTGTCTTCTGAAACTGACTGCAGATGCTGACACATGAGGCTTTTATACTACTCAAAACAAGTCAAGAACACCCATATAAACTGGAGGCCATTCTCACCTGACTGATTAACTTAAGGCGTAGGAAACACTGAGATACTTTTAATTCCTTTTGAGTAGTGTATATAGTGTATCATTTACTTCACATTCAATCTAGTATACTTCCTCGTAAGGCTTACGAAATGTGACATAGTCTAGATTCCACGGGTAGTCAAACCAGATTCAAACACACACACACACACACACACACACACACACACACACACACACACACACACACACACACACACACACACACACACACACACACACACACACACACACACACACACACACACACACACACACACACACACACACACACACACACACACACACACACACACACACACACACACACACACATCCAAGAATGCCCTCATATTTTTGCATCTAGCACAAGATATGAATGCTGAGATAAACCTTGAAGCAGTGAGATATATAATAGATTCGACCTTGTGTTCATATGCTAACGATCTTGCTTGTGCTCGAGTTGGATGTATAAGGCTCAACACCAATCCCGGGAGATATCACAAAATTACAAAATCTGGAAACGTATGCATATATCGTAACTTAAACAATATCGAAGATATGAAGCATTTCACCCTTATATAAATATGTCATGCAATAAACAACTGATTTTGACCCTTGATGGGTATTCACAGCTTCCTCTTGCATCTAACGTGATGCAATATTTATACAACTCCGCCATGTTACTATTTGCACACTATTAAGTCAGGATAATTATAGGGGTGGGGAAGTAGCCTAGTGGTTAAAGTGTTCGCTCGTCACGCCGAAGACCCGGATTCGATTCTCCAACATGGGCGCAATGAATGTGGTGTCCCCCGCCGTGATATTGCTGGATGTTGCTAAGAGCGGCATAAAACCATACTCGCTCACTCACTAAGTCAGGAAAATAGATACAGAGTCACAACGTGAACAAACACGGAACTTCCTTAATCAACAATTCAAATTTAACGTTTCGGTAACGTTTTCCACTTCTTAGTAAATCGTTGACTTGTTCTACTGAGTTTAGTGGCCTCGGACTCACGATGACCCGTACAAGAAAGCTTGTCCCTCTGCTGCTGCTGCTGCTGCTGCTGTCGGTGTGTTCAGTCCGTTCACATGAATGTGGAGTTAACATCACCTGTGAAAAACATCGAACCCATTGTTTTCAATGTGAATGTGGAAACCCATGTGCGTTTTGCTCGAACGCTAACCTTACCTTCATACCTGACCTCCACATGGACATACTCCTCCTCAACTTCACAGAAAACCACCTGGGTGTTCTTTCCAGGGAGACTTTCACAAATGTCACCGCTGTTCAAATATTGACGCTGAAAAACAACAAAATTGCCTCGATACATGTGGACGCATTCGAATTGCTTCGTAACATGACTTGTTTGGATTTGTCTGGAAACAGTCTTTGTGAAGACAAGTTCTTATTGTTGAATATGACCCGTGCTGTGGGGAATACAAGAGTTCAGCTGCTTCTTCTAGAACGTTTTGGACTCAATGATACTTCTATGGAACAGTTAAGACATATAGCGTCACATGCATTGAGGAGAGTTGTTATCAGTGACAACACTATTACCCACCTCGACCTATCAATATTTGAAAATAATCCAAATCTTACAGCTATCTCAGCTGAATATTGTAAAATTCAGTCGACGACTTTTATACCGTTACCATCTCTAACAGAGTTACAGTTAAGGTATAACTATATGAAGGAAATACCAGACTTCTGCAAACCCACCAATCAAAGCATTCCACGACTGGCGAGTCTCAACATCGACCGTAATAAATTACAATTACTTAACTCTAGCAAATTTGATTGCCTTAGAAACTTGAAGCATCTGTTCATTTCACGATATAATTTACAATATATTAATCCAAATACTTTTTCAACTCTACCCAATCTGATGGAAGTATTCCTGCAGGTTAGTTTGGCTTGTATCAGCATGGAGGAAGAAAAACCTTATCAACGAATCCATGCCTATGCATTTAACAACAGTCGTCCACCATAGTTCTGCAGGGATGTCAGCTGAAATTCCACATGGATGTAAGCTCGCATGCTTTTGCTGGCTGTTCAGGCCTTTTACACTTAGACCTCTCTGGCAACTACCTGGACCGGGTGACGGAAGACAACATGACTGTGTTATTGGGCAATTTGTCCAGTTTGAGATCCCTAAATCTCGCCAAATGTGGATTGCCATCTATCCCTAGAGTTATATCACAGAAACTTCACGGACTCCAACTTCTTAATTTATATGAGAATAATATAAACTATGTGAGAGTGGACACCTTCAAAAAACTGACTCAGCTCAAACGGTTATATCTAAACGGTAACCGTTTTGTGTTTTTAAGTAAGGATGCATTCTTCAAAACATTTTTGTCTCAGCTGGAAATATTTGATCTTTCTGAGAACAGAATATCGTGTACTTGTGAGAATCTCTGGTTCATACAATGGCTACAGGAGCGTGGCTCAAGCAACTCCTCTCCAATACATGGAAAACACTACACCTGTGCTAGTCCGTCTGACATGCAAGGCCAACTGATCACAAGTTCCCAGCTGTCCACACAGAGATGTCTCATTTCACCCCTGCTGTTTCCGTCTGTGGTGATCATGTCCGGTCTCATCGTGCTCGCCATACTTGTTATCACGTTCATCCACAGGTGGCGCTGGCGCTTACGCTACTGTATCTACATGCTTAGGTATAAGAAGAGAAGACATGGTGGCCAGGAGCGGATGACCTTCGTCTATGATGCCTTTGTTATGTACGCTGATGCTGACTCTCTGCGGGTCAGGAGTCAGCTGATGACTAATATCGAGACCACGCAAAGACTCACTCTGTGTATTCACGAGAGAGATTTTATACCCGGACAATAAATTGTAGATAACATTGTAAATTCTATGGAAAAGAGCAATAAAGTTAACCTTGTGCTGTCCAACAACTTTAGTGAAAGCCCTTGGTGTCAGTTTGAGTTGACTTTGGCCCAGAAACGTGTGATGGAGCTGGACCACGGGTACCTGGTGGTGATTCGGCTGGATGAGGTGCATGACAGAAACATGACGCCATCACTGTATGCTCTGCTGCAGACGACAACATACGTGTCCTGGCCGACCGAAGAAGATGACAGACCGCTGTTTTGGGACCGTATTGGACGGTGTCTGCAGCAATAAGTACCATACTACTGTAAGTGCTAAGGTTTTCAAAACTGTGCAAAGGTTGGCATAAGTAGGGATTTCATCTGTAGATATGTGGTGTTTCCATATTTTGGATCTGACCGACGCTGTTGCGTTCCTTTGATGGCAAGATTCTAATTTCGCTCTGATTTCGTTTGGTTTTATAGTACCATACCTGCATTCCTGACTTTCTTTTATTCAGTAATTTTTGACTTTCCTCACACAGGTGTTGCATAATTTTCCAAGTACGTACCCAATATGTTTTTTATGTATTTTTGAATGGACTGTGTATAGCCACCACAAGTGTATTTCCTTTTATCACATAATCAAGTAAATCTGTATAAAATAGAAAACATAAATGCACTACATGTATGGCGCCGGCTCATGCTTTAGTAAAGAATGTTGTTGTATTTCTCAACATATATTTCAGACAGCAATGCTGTATGATTTTTTGAAGTGAGTCTGTTATCGTTTGTCTCGGAGAACAAACAGCCAGTGTTTCATGGTCAGGTTCCATGTGGACCTCCTGGTATCCAGACCTAACAACGTTACCTAACAACAGTACCTGTAGGATGAGGACAGGCTTATTGCACAAAACGAAATCATGTCTGCGTTGACATCATATCGTTTCCGCATCTTATTAATTACTCCCCTGCTTTCTAAACCACGAATTTATCGATGACATCACCTGGGACAACGATTATCTTTTTATTTGTGAAATAAATCCGTGTAGTATATACTGGTATTTTGTTTACTCCACGGTGTACTTTGAGAAAGTCCTGCGCGAGATTGTGTTAAACAAGACCAGCGTATACTATGAATATTTGTAAACGTAATAGATCAGGCTATTGTCTGATTGTTATAGTTTTAAATCCACCCCATGCAATGTTTATAATGAATAAAGATTTTCAAACCAAATTGGCTTGTTTGGAATGTAATTGAGGGGATTTATATCATGTAGTGATGCTATTTCCTGGTGTTATTGTGTAGCTATAGTGCGTTTGCTGCAAAATCGTACCGATGAAATGGCAAATAAATACACATTCGAAAGCAAGAAATTGTCTGAAATGGCATGAAAGTTAGCCATTTGTACATACCAAATCGTCACTAAGAGAAAAAGTTGTTTAACAAACGATCATGTAAATGTTGGTGTTTTAAGGACTGTTGTAACAGCGGGGTATAATGTGGTTCATCAAAGAACATGGTTGGATGTCTCTACAATCAAAACTCATTGTATAACGGCTTCCTGTACCTGACCAGATTGGATCTACTTTCCTCCCTTCTCGCTCCCAACACACGTTATTACCAGGATGACGTCGTTTCGGCGGTGGTGTCGTAAGCTGACGTAGCCAACCATTACTCTGCATATCGACCAATTAATACACACTCACTCATACACTCCAGATACTCGGACAATGAAACAAATGACCATACACATTCAATCATCTTTATACTGTACTGTCAATGTTCACTTTCGCATTTACATGGGACGCGAACTGACTCAATCATACACAAAGAAAGACATTAGTGTGACTTTTCCACTTATAATAAATTGTGGGTCAAGTTCTAATGCTTGTGGTTTAACGGCGGTATGGCGACCCCTGGAAAAAATTGATTTGGAGCTGTCTTTCTAACAGTTGGGGTAGTGCATATAAAAACTGTTGTGATAGCACATAGGAACACTGTTGGGATAGCACATAGAAATACTGTTGGCATAGCACCTTAAAACACTGTTGGCATAGCACATTAAAACACTGTTAGGGATAGCACACACTGACACTGTCGGGGATAGCGCACTCTGACACTGTCGGGGATAGCACACTCTGACACTGTCGGGGATAGCACACTCTGACACTGTTGGGGATAGCACACACTGACACTGTTGGGGATAGCACACTCTGACACTGTTGGGGATAGCACACTCTGACACTGTTGGGGATAGCACACACTAACACTGTCGGGGATAGCACACACTAACACTGTCGGGGATAGCACACACTGACACTGTTAGGGATAGCACACACTAACACTGTCGGGGATAGCACACACTGACACTGTTGGGATAGCACACTCTGACACTGTTAGGGATAGCACACACTAACACTGTCGGGGATAGCACACACACTAACACTGTTGGGGATGGCACACTAACACTGTCGGGGATAGCACACACCAACACTGTTGGGGATGGCACACACCAACACTGTTGGGGATAGCACACACCAACACTGTCGGGGATAGCACACACTGACACTGTTGGGATAGCACACTCTGACACTGTTAGGGATAGCACACACTAACACTGTAGGGGATAGCACACACTAACACTGTTAGGGATAGCACACACTAACACTGTTAGGGATAGCACACACTAACACTGTCGGGGATAGCACACACTGACACTGTTAGGGATAGCACACACTGACACTGTTAGGGATAGCACACACACTAACACTGTCGGGGATAGCACACACCGACACTGTTGGGATAGCACACTCTGACACTGCTAGGGATAGCACACACTAACACTGTCGGGGATAGCACACACTGACACTGTTGGGGATGGCACACACTAACACTGTTGGGGATAGCACACACTAACACTGTCGGGGATAGCACACACTAACACTGTTGGGGTTAGCACACACTGACACTGTCGGGGATAGCACACACTGACACTGTTGGGATAGCACACTCTGACACTGTTCGGGATAGCACACACTAACACTGTTAGGGATAGCACACACTAACACTGTTAGGGATAGCACACACTAACACTGTCGGGGATAGCACACAATAACACTGTTAGGGATAGCACACACTAACACTGTTAGGGATAGCACACACTAACACTGTCGGGGATAGCACACACTGACACTGTTGGGGATAGCACACACTGACACTGTTAGGGATAGCACACACTAACACTGTCGGGGATAGCACACACCGACACTGTTGGGATAGCACACCTGACACTGTTTGGGATAGCACACTACCAACACTGTCGGGGATAGCACACACCAACACTGTCGGGGATAGCACACTCTGACACTGTTAGGGATAGCACACTCTGACACTGTTTGGGATAGCACACACTAACACTGTCGGGGATAGCACACACCGACACTGTTGGGATAGCACACCTGACACTGTTAGGGATAGCACACACTAACACTGTCGGGGATAGCACACACACCAACACTGTCGGGGATAGCACACCTGACACTGTTAGGGATAGCACACTCTGACACTGTTTGGGATAGCACACACCAACACTGTCGGGGATAGCACACACCGACACTGTTGGGATAGCACACTCTGACACCGTTAGGGATAGCACACACCAACACCGTCGGGGATAGCACACACTAACACTGTTGGGGATGGCACACACTAACACTGTTGGGGATAGCACACACTAACACTGTCGGGGATAGCACACTCTGACACTGTTAGGGATAGCACACTCTGACACTGTTTGGGATAGCACACACTAACACTGTCGGGGATAGCACACACCAACACCGTCGGGGATAGCACACTCTGACACCGTTAGGGATAGCACACCTGACACTGTTTGGGATAGCACACACTAACACTGTCGGGGATAGCACACACTGACACTGTTGGGATAGCACACTCTGACACTGACACTGTTAGGGATAGCACACACTAACACTGTCGGGGATAGCACACACTAACACTGTTGGGGATGGCACACACCAACACTGTTGGGGATAGCACACACCAACACTGTCGGGGATAGCACACACTAACACTGTTGGGTTAGCACACACCAACACTGTCGGGGATAGCACACTGACACTGTTGGGATAGCACACCTGACACCGTTAGGGATAGCACACACCAACACCGTCGGGGATAGCACACAAACAAAACTGTTAGGGATAGCACACACTAACACTGTTAGGGATAGCACACACTAGCACTGTCGGGGATAGCACACACTGACACTGTTAGGGATAGCACACACTAACACTGTCGGGGATAGCACACACTAACACTGTTAGGGATAGCACACACTAACACTGTCGGGGATAACACACACTGACACTGTTGGGATAGCACACTCTGACACTGTTAGGGATAGCACACACTAACACTGTCGGGGATATCACACACTGACACTGTTGGGGATGGCACACACTAACACTGTTGGGGATAGCACACACTAACACTGTCGGGGATAGCACATACTAACACTGTTGGGGTTAGCACACACTAACACTGTCGGGGATAGCACACACTGACACTGTTGGGATAGCACACCTCTGACACTGTAAGGGATAGCACACACCAACACTGTCGGGGATAGCACACACCAACACTGTTAGGGATAGCACACACCAACACTGTTAGGATAGCACACACTAACACTGTCGGGGATAGCACACACCGACACTGTCGGGGATAGCACACACCGACACTGTTAGGGATAGCACACACTAACACTGTCGGGGATAGCACACACTAACACTGTCGGGGATAGCACACTCTGACACTGTCGGGGATAGCACACACTGACACTGTTGGGGATAGCACACACTGACACTGTTAGGGATAGCACACACTAACACTGTCGGGGATAGCACACACTGACACTGTTGGGATAGCACACTCTGACACTGTTGGGGATGGCACACACTAACACTGTTGGGGATAGCACACACTAACACTGTTGGGGATAGCACACACTAACACTGTTGGGGTTAGCACACACTAACACTGTCGGGGATAGCACACACTGACACTGTTGGGATAGCACACTCTGACACTGTTCGGGATAGCACACACTAACACTGTTAGGGATAGCACACACTAACACTGTTGGGATAGCACACACTAACACTGTCGGGGAGAGCACACACTAACACTGTCGGGGATAGCACACACTGACACTGTTGGGATAGCACACTCTGACACTGTTCGGGATAGCACACACTAACACTGTTAGGGATAGCACACACTAACACTGTTGGGATAGCTTACACACTAACACTGTCGGGGATAGCACACACACCAACACTGTTAGGGATAGCACACCAACACTGTTAGGGATAGCACACACCAACACTGTCGGGGATAGCACACACTGACACTGTCGGGGATAGCTGCACCGACACTGTTAGGGATAGCACACACCAACACTGTCGGGGATAGCACACACCGACACCGTTGGGATAGCACACTCTGACACTGTTTGGGATAGCACACCAACA